CGTGTGTGTGTGTGTGTGCCTGTGTGTGTGTGTGTGTGTGTGTGTGTGTGTGTGTGTGTGTGTGTGTGTGTGTGTGTACGTGTGTGTAGCATGTGCGTGTCACATGAGTTTCGCACGAGTACGACACGTCATACCCGTGCTGCTCCGACCAGATACGTCCGCACACTATGGGCAAGATGTAAAGCGTGGGGGCGATTTTTCAACGCGGCGGGGTAAAACCATTCGTGTGTCCATTTGTGGTGAGGGTACTTATTTAAAGGGCCGTAAAGTCGAAAGCAGCCAAATATGCAAAAGCAGTAAGACAAAGTGAGGGAGGTGGGTGGCGCCTCCTCTTTTTCAGACAGACCAAAACACACGCAATAACACCCCACAAACAAACGGAGGGAAGGGGGGAAGGCAAACGACAGCGAGGCAAAGGGCAAGGAACCAACACCATTGCACGACAAACCACCACAAGGCACAAGAACTTAAGAGGCAGGCGAGGAGGAACAAACAGCAAGGCAGCACATAGGTTGAAACGCATTAGGGAGACACATGAACTTAGAGGCATGAGAGAAGGAACAAGCAGTGAGGTGGCACATAGGCTGAAACGTATGGGGGAGGCGGCAGGGCATAAGTACAAGTATCGAAAAACAGCAAAGAGGCCAGAAAAATAGAAAGCAGGATAGAGGGTAGAGGAGAGGAGGGTGGGCAGACAAACAGCACAAGGCAAGAAACAAAGACCGAAAAAAATAAATAAAAATTGATGATGATAGATTGTTTCGTCGGAGTTGCACCGACTCATCAGGAGGCTGAACCCTCGACAATCTGCTCAATCTCCGTATTTGATGGTTTGGGTCATGAACCCGTTGACCCTTGTTGAAGGCAGACTGTCCCCAAGCGGAACATACCAGCGGGCACTAACCCTGTGGAGCACCAAGCAACACAGTATAGGCAACACGACTGCACAACGCCAAAAACGACTGCAAGGAACGACATGGCATGCAGGACATGCACCGCGGCAACCATGTAGTGAAACATAAGTCAACACAAGCAGGGCAGCCACACTGCAAGGGACGACAGGGCGAGTGGACCAGCAACTCGGCAACCGTGGTGCGGAGCACAAGGCACCAGCACCAAGGCAACCAACCTACAGGGCACACAAGCAGCAAGCACGCACGGCCAGTGGATGAGCAGCATGGCAGCAAAGCAGCAAACTGCAAGGCAACACCAACAACATGGCCACACCACGCAGCGAACAGAGCAATCCGCAGAGAGCCACACGCGAAACAAGCGAGACAGGCACCAAGGCAGCGGCGGAGCGCAAACGAGGACGTCCACACATCCAACACGGAGCAAAGCAGCACATGACCTACTCACATCACGGTTGAACCCCGCAGACTGTTGGTTCCCACCACCCATTGAGCCAGGGAGTCACTCCAACGAACATCCGCCATCACCGACAGGCAATACAGACATCCCGAACCAAGCAGCCCCCATAAGACTGCAGTAGGCACTCCAAATGAGGAACCACCGACTGTTTGGCACTACTTAAGGGTGCTCAGTTGGGCATACAAAAAATACATAGAAAAAATCAAGGGATGGACATACAACAGAAGAAAGACTGACAGACATAAAACTGATTGTGTGTGTGTGTGTGTGTGTGTGTGTGTGTGTGTGTGTGTGTGTGTGTGTGTGTGTGTGTGTGCATGCGCGTGTGCCGAGGGGAGGGGAGGGAGGACCCCTCCCCCACCAATCAATCAATCAATCAATCAATCAATCAATCATTCAATCAACCAATCAATCAACCATTAAAAAAAAAAAAATTGGTTATCTTTTTTTTTTTTTTTTTTTTTCCCACCTGATAATGACCCCCCTAAAATTTCATCCTTTTTTTTTCTTTTTTTAGTTGATTGAGCGGATGCCATGCGCAGGCGATGCGCGCGCCCCGATTTTGGGTGCGCGGCTTCACCTGCACATGGCGCGGCCGCGAAAAAAGTCGGCCGTGCAGCCTTGGCCGCGGTGTCGCAGCCGGCCTCCTCGGCCGCGGCCAAGGCCGCGGCCGTGGGGGACACATAGGCTAGACCTGAATGCGAGGGATATAGTGAATGACGGTGTAGATAGCTTCTCCAGCAATGGAGGAGGAGGGGGAGGAGGAGGAGGAGGAGGAGGGGAAGGGGAAGGGGGAGGTGGAGGATGTGGGGGAGGAGGAGGAGGAGGGGGAAAGTTTCGAATGTTAAGCGATGGGGAAGTAGTGAAGGAGGAGGAAGACGACATGGGGGAAGGGAGAGAAGCTAAGGTGGGGAGGAAGGAGGAGGAGGAGGAGGAAAGAGCACAGGAAACATGGCTATGGAGTGGGAAGGGATGGAGTAAGAAGGGGCTAATGTGTCTGCTGGAACAGGCTGTGGTCTGATGAATGCCATATTAGCTAAGAGGATGCGGTTGGATGAACATGTGAACAAACTCAAAGGACGTCCACGGCAGCGGGTGACAGCAGATGACGAATGAACTCCAATGCGGTGATTGCAGCAGCGAGCGCCATGTGAGTGCAGCCCAGTTACTTTCACAGCGACGTGGAAAACTACGACGTTTGAATTCGAATTCTCCACGCCTCCGTGCTGGAGGGAATCTCAGAAAGATGCACTGGGCAAATCAGACAGGCACCAGCGGACATGGGACCAGCAGTCCGGTAGGGGCATTCCGGAAATTGGTGCCGCCCAGGGGCAAATCAGGGTAAGTCGGCCATCGGAGGGGCAAATTGCAAATAAACGGGGGTCATTTTAGAATTTTTCCCTTTTTTTTTCCGACCGAACTCCTACGGTCCACTAGCGGTGCTGATAGGAACAGACAAAAAGGATTTCATATATTATATTGCTCCAATTAAACGGGGGCAAGGTCCACTAGCAAAGACGGTTGGATTAAACTCTTGAATCTGGACGTGTTTTCATAAGAGATGCAGAGACCAGTTGAATGTCGATTTTCTGCATGTTGTCATGAACTCGTCTAGATTCAGGCATTCAACCCAATTCTCTTTGCTAGTGGGACCTAGCTCCCGATGTCGCGCGAAGGACAATAGGCGTCACTCCACTACTCTCGACATGCACAAAAGACAAAAATCATTCCGTCGGGGGAAACCGGCGACGCTGGTCCTGAGGATCTTTGGCCTGTCACTCGCACCTCCCCCACTGCCCTCCCTCCCCACATTTGCGATGTGACCGTGTCTAATGGCCAAAGAGGTGCAAAAGGCAATACTTCGTATCAACCAATGGCATATCATTGCTGCATTTTAACAGCCAACAATGTTGGCCAAGGTCCTGCCAATGCTGGCTTGGAGAGCCAATGGGTGTAACTTACTTCTAGCTAGTAGAACATCAAGCCTACGTGAGGACAATGGGGATTGAACCCACGACCTCCTGAATGCAACAGCTGTGCCTCACCAACAGCCTGACAGGACCTCCTGACTTGAATTTCTGTTCCTTACCCAGTACCCAGTTGGTAAGGCACAGAAGTTGCATTCACTGCAGGAGGTCCTGCTGGTGAGGCACAGCAGTTGCAGTCAGGAGGTCGTGGGTGGGTAAGGCACAGCAGTTGCATTCAGGAGGTCCTGGGTTCTGGGTAAGGCACAGAGGTTGCATTCAGGAGGTGGTGGGTTCAATCCCTATTGGCCTCATGTACATGCCTAGGCAAGCTTGGTGTTCTACCAGCTAGAAATAACCCGTTGCCCCTCCAAGCCTGGCAGGGCCGTCGGCAATATTGTTGGTTGCTATACAGCAATGACATTGGCCATTAGACACCGCTAATGTGGGGTTGGAGGGGGGTAGCGGGAGGTGCGAGTGACTGGCCGGAGATGTTCGGCACTAGCATTGTCGGTTTCCCCCGTCGGCAATGCCTGATCACTCTGCATCATAGTGTGACAAGGGGCCGATACAAGCCTTGCTCTCACGCTTCTGCTGTGGTGCAAACCTGCCCGGGCTGCCCCCCATGGGCTGGGGAGAGTTCCAGGTTTGGTTGGTGTTCACTCGTACTGTACATAGAGCAGGGAGAGGATGAGATAAATGCGAAAAATATATACAAAATGAAGATTGAGAGAAGAATATAGATTAGTTAAAAAAGAATAATAAAAATCATGCCAATGTATCTTTCCACATGTTGTAGCAGAAGATTTGCTCTCGTTTTGCACATTTCGAGAGTAGTGGAGCTAGGCCCAATATTGATCTCCCAAGTCTGGCATATCACACATAGGTGCCGTTTGCGATTGTTGCTCAAATGGTAGAGTCTTCCAGTCACATGTCATAGATCACGGGTTGGAGTCTGGCGTGGGACTTGGGGGGGTCTTGTCCAGCTTGGCCTGTCATCTCTTCAAGAACACAGAGTTCCCTCTACATAGTACCACTGCAACACATTGTTCCCTCTACATAGCACTGCACATATCTGACCTTTGGGCACATACATCCTGCTATACAGCTACACAGGGGATACATATCCTCCGGGCATACACAGAAACATGGCTTGTGCACATACACACAGCCCACGGGCTCATAGTACGTACATTGCCTCTGGGCAAACATATACATATGACGATAATACCGGGTTGGGCGGGTCTATCAGGTACATGACGGGGTCTCCTCATGCATGGCTTAGACTCTAGGGTACTGTAGGGATATAAGTCGCTCTGGCTAGTCTGAGTTCTACCTAGCGTTGGGTAACCTAGGGGAAGGACGGTAGGATGTGTCCGTGGGCGCCAGCTTGCCTTGCCTAGATACTCCTGCTGGGTAGACTCTCTGATATTAGGCCTGTAGAAGATTGCTTGAGCCTGACATCCGAAGTTCTTATACGGCAAGGTTCGTCCACTTCCGCTCCCACTTTCTTTTTTTTTTTTTTTTTTTTAAGTCCAGGGTGTTGTAGAGGCCAGTTACTAGGCTCACATTGATCGCCGGAAGCTGTCAGCCATGATTGCCCTGAAGAGACGGGGCTACCTTCTCATCCCATTCTCACGTCAATACTCCTACTAGCGCATCCCCTACTCCTACTATCCTACCTCAGTGTGACCAGCACTCAGGACCATTACCCTACCATTGAGGGGAACTTGGACCGAACAGTAGTGACAGGCACCAGGGCTAGTGACCCAGCCCTGGTGGAAGCATAGTCGAACGAACCTCATCGCACGGGAATTTCGGACGCCAGGCTCAAGCAATCACCTATTAGCCCCTAAGTAAACCGACTAGTAACTCATGCCCTCTCTTATCATCGAGACACTTATTATTAGTTGGTCGTGACCTCCTTCCAGCCCTATGGTTATGTATGTGTGATGTCCGGTATTGAGGTATGTGCCGGCAGGCTACGTGTATGTGCTTTTGTAATGTGCGTGGACCCGTAGCAGACACTGCTCCCCACCATGGAGCATCTGCGAAGTGAATACCAGTGAGAGGTGCTCTTATCACCTCTACCAGTGTCTGTGTAAGCCATGTGTAGGTAGTATGTATAGGAGCCCTAGAAACACCTTGCCTCGAAGGCAGCGGAGGGGCGACCCTATGCGCCCTTAATCTGCTGCCAACGAATAGACAGCCCTCCTCCAGAACCCCGATCATCAGCTCAGGCTCCTCCCGCCCCAAAGGACCCCATGCCTACGTGCTCTATCCTCAGTAGAGACTGTCTCCCACCTATCAGCAGAATCCGGTCATCGGCTAGGTACTTCCTATAGGGATCAGAGGGACAGATTACAGACTCAGTAGGTGGTGGGCCATCATCCGTCGTTCCACTAGCCCCCAGCCTCATCCCTCCGATAGCCTCTCGTGGTTATACCTGTAGTCAGTATCTTGGGTAGTGTCTAGCATGTGTGTGTGTGTGTGTGTGTGTGTGTGTGTGTGTGTGAATCTCGAACCTGTGACCTCCAGTATGAAACTGGAAGGCTCTATCATATGCATTACCACAGGAAGTGAATCGAATGTGTGAAATATGTAGACTGGGGGAGCGCATCAGAGCGACCAAAGCCAACAACAGCAAGCAACCAACGTGAAGTCTAGACCAGCATACAACACCCATGGACTGGCCCCCTGGGTGGTGCGCAAGCCGTGAGTCATTCTAACGCCCTGCTGCCGGTGTCCACTCGTGAGGCTGCAGAGTTTTGAACCCGCAACCTCATACCACAATGCGCATTTCCAACCGAAGCTCTAACCACTGAGCTACATCAAGGGTTGGGGGGTTGCCCAGCCTTGTTGCTTGTCACTGTTGTCTGGTCCAAGTTGCCCTCGATACTGGTAGGGTGATGGTCCTGTCAGTGAGTGCTGGTCACACTGAGGTAGGATAGTAGGGATAAGGGGTGCGCTGGGAGTATTAAACGACCAGTACTTGGCCAATACATCGGCCGCGGGCCTTCCCCGTTAACGCGGCGGCAACACAAGGGGTCAGCCAAATGAAGGCCCGCTCGGTGCTTGAAGGCCGGTCGCCACCTTTCCAGGCATGTGACAGTCAAAAGGGAAAAAAAAGAAAAACGAAAAAAACAAATACGAAAACAAAACAACAAAAAAGCACATTCAAAAACAAAAACGAGTGGGGGGGGGGAGACACACACACACACACACACACACACACACACAAATAGAGGTAGATATATATATATATATATATATATATATATATAGAGAGAGAGAGAGAGAGAGAGAGAGAGAGAGAGAGAGAGAGAGAGAGAGAGA